CTGTTTATGTTCGGTGAGTTTTAAACAATCATCAACTTAACTTTTTCATAAATGTTCAAACAATTTTATTTAAGAAACGGGAGAGTAAACAGATTTAACTGTATTTTAATACGCTATCAAACGAAGTTAGATTTAGGTATTAATCAAATTAAACTGTCAACAAGATTTACCTATTATGATGGCATACATGTAATTGATACATGTACATTTGCTTGGAAATACTGATGACGTCACAGTTTGTCATTGAATATACAAAATAACAAATGTCAACCTAACGTTGACGTCACTTATTCAAAAAAGCCGAAATTTCAAGGAGGATTGGCTCCCAGAATGCAACACCGATATTCTGCAAAACAATCACCTAGCGATAGCTTTGTTGGAGAGTATCGGGTCATTCTCCATGCAGTCGTACAAATTATACAGACACAAATAGCAAATGACGCATGCGTGGAGATTAAAGAATATCGAGTTGGAACCCTGGCTTCCAATCCTCCTTGCGAAATTTGGAACTTTAGATTGATATTGTACCTGTGTCGTTCACTATAAAGGAATGGTCTTCAAGAAAAAGCGGCCCTCGAACGCGCATTTAAAAATCAAATGTCTTCAGACGAAACAGTTTTAAAATTGAAGAAATTACTTACTGTCAATACATGCATAGTTCAGTTAGCTAACAATAAATGATGCAATTTCGAGGTTCGACATTGCGAAATGCTCTTTGGTGAAAAATTGCTTGACGATTTTTTGAGATCGCTACGCTCTGATTGTTTTCGCATTGATAGTATATTGGCATGAACGAATATCGAGATCGCTGTGCCTTCTAATCAGTAATTGCATTTTTGATTCTTGTAAATTAAATCGAACTTTATTGGCATTAACTTTACTTACTACTCCTGCGTTGAATCATAACACAGCATATTGATACCACAGTCATGCATATTATGTCATCATGTATGGCAACTCCATGTCTAGACAGACGTTCGTAGCATTCCTCATATTCTAGTCACAGCCACTCTCATTTTGGCAAACTGAGTTTTAATTTAATGGGGAATTGAAACCTGGCAATGTTTGGTTCTTAATTTTGTTCGGAAGTGTGGGACATTTGTTTATAATTTAAATCGCTAAACACAAGGCTTTAAAATGTGATCCAAAAGAGGATTCACCGTTGCCAAACGTATGGAGGGAGTGTATTTTGATGAAGCAGATGTAAAAACTAACAGAAACAATTAAAATGGTTGGCTGGATGGCTAATCCACTGTTCAATGTTTGACTTTTTGTCAGAAAACACGAACGGAAACAGTTAAAAAACATCAGCGCAAAAGCAAAAAAACAAACCAGATCGAAATGATATAGCGTAACAACTATATTTAGAATAACAAATCTAAATATAGATCCATGAGAAAATTCATTATGGTCGTTGAACTGGGCCAAAAAGTTCAACGATTATATATTCTCAGCACCTATCTTGATCTTATGAAACATACATTTAAATTAAATCAACGAAACATGCACTAAGAAGAGGACATTGGGCATGGGGAATTGCATCAACCAAAGAAAATTAAGAAAAAATTATTAAGAAAGTTAACACTAAATTGAAGAACACGAATGTATAAAATTATGCTTCCCGAGCGACTAATTTTCCCATGGCCTGCCCGATTGAAAATGAAGATGTATGGAAAACAATTGTAATTGGATCAGCGTTTGTTTGTACATGTATATAACCAATCAAAAAGCTGATAATAACCTCTTTGTGTCATAATATATCACGCTCACGTTCGTGTTCTCCCAAAATACGCGTAACTCAACCCCTCCGTTGTGAATTCATGTTCGCTTAGGAAGTATAAATTATATCCGCAGGGTTATATTTATCATTTTTGGTATAATCAGCAAGATGAAAGGAATTTTAGAAGATCACAAAAAGAAACAAACCCCACAAACTAATAATATCATCTGAAACGGGATACACTTCGGCAAACTAATTTCAGCAGCGTGTGTTGTTGGCTCAAAGTTAAGCAGGGGATGATTTCCCGACATTCAATTTTGAGTCACGTGATGGGTGATGACAAATTAGATCGATGGTCGTATGTATTACGTTACAATTTTGATTGGGGTTTGTTTTGTCTTTGGCCATAATAGTCTGATAGACTTAACTAACAAGGAACCAACTGCGATTCATGGTGGGAAAAGACGTATCAATGAATCTCGATACCAATTTAACAAATTCTACAGCAAACATGATATCGTTTTATACAACAGCAGATGCTATCTCTTCAAATATTCCAACGCTCGGTACAAATATTCCGACATTCGTTTCCTACTTTCCCATACCATTTTGAAGTCTCATCCCTATGTCTGCGTAAAGCATCTAGAGATAGTACGTTCAAAAGGTTAATCACCGTTAGACTTATATTTTTCTGAAGTAGAGGAAAAGATGAAAACTCACACATCAACGCTATCTTTGGCCCTTGCTAAAATTACGCTATTGTCGTGTTCTCTCTTCTTTATTTCTCCGAGTGTTTTACTCATAGGAGTATCTACGAAACAACGCAGTTAAGTATCTTTATTCATGATATTACTTCGTAATTTGCTCACGCTTTCCCCTCGTTTTCCCGGTATTCAAAATATTAAAATCACGACTTGTTTTTATCGGAGTTTCTTGTAGTGATTGTTTATCGGTGATTGACAAATACTTATTGGAACCGATAAGGTGAAACTGAGACTCAATTCAATCAAACAAATGTCCATTACAAATGTCCACTCACGGTTTAAGAAATCGATCTCGTATATCAACCGTCATAGGCTAGTACTCAACCGATATTGGCCGTTGATAAACGAAGATTTTTGACTTTGGGTTGATTTCATTAAGGATTAAATGAAGAGAGTAGCTTCCCAGAATGAAATCAAATGTAAATACTTCGATTTACTTTGATAACATTATGAATATTTATAAGCTTGTCTGTCATGAATGTCTTAGCCTGGATTTAGACCTGCTTATTGATCACATGATCTTTGAACTGTCGAAAAGTATACGTAATTTGGTTTGAAATTTGAATTCCTAATTGAGTTAATATTTTCGCTGATCCACTTTGATTGTAAATCCAGGAGATAGTGTTTTAACAACAGTATATAAAAATAGAAACATATGTAAAAGTCCTAACTTGCATATTCCAGATAGTTATGTATAATGTGCAGCAAAGCTGTGGCTTTTTGTAATTTAGGGAGTTTCAGCCATATTATTTTTTCAGAAAATAACATGGCAGAGAAGCATCAAAATATACGAGGCCACATATATGATAGCTAAACTACAAAACAACTAAAATATACAAAAGTTAGAACTTGTATAAATGTTTCTATTTTTACATATACTGTTTCAATATGGTCCTTTGATTGCTTATTTTTTAAATTCAAAGTACTTTCAAACATTTAAAATCTTACTGTATAGACGAGTATGGTACTGCTATTTCGAATGTGTTCAGGGCAGATTGATAGTTCAATAACTATAGTAACCTAGAACAAGACAATATCCTTATTGAAGGGCAATACCATTAATGGACCAATTTCATCGATCTGACCGAGGTCAACCAGGGCCACTTAGCGTCACTGAAATCAAACACGGAAGATAAATAACCGAATAGCTACTTACATTTAGTAGAATTTATGGAACAATGCTGAAATTGAACCAAAAATCATTGAAGTAATATAGTTAGCGTTTTTTAACTTAATTGATTAACAAATGTAGCCTGGGGTAATTCATCTTACTGTCAAACTAAGAAGTAAATGAATATGAAAAAATAAAGGGAACTGGTTTGATTGTTCTGTGCATGATATTGTGCCGTTATATAACATTATTTTTTCATAAGGGCTTGGTGCCCTCGTTATCTATATACAACTGCTCAGTTCTACATCCTCTAATTGGATGTTGGTCGCCCCCCCCCCCAGGATCCACCAATCTCTCACAGTTCCATGTATTTTTAAGACTATTTCAGTACGTTTAGCTATACGTTATTTTGCCTTCCTTGTTCCAAGGAATTTCACTTCTTTCCATAGGGAGATCATAAAAATGTGATTTTTTCTTAATTTTGATCAAATTAATGAAAAGGGAAAATTCCTTTGATCTTCAGTATTATAACATGACGTTTATGAAGTAGATTAGCTAATCTTAATGGGGCCAAGCTAATATTAATTGGTGTGCAGATCATTGCAAAGCCTGATTGGCAAATATTACTTTTTCTTATCGTCTCTCTTACATCATGTTTCATGTACTTTAGCGACGTTTATAATAATTATTTCTATAAGGTTTTGGCCTTTGGTTTTTCTTATAAGTTCGGGAACTGATTTCCCTTGGTGTCCATTGTACTTATTGCGAAAAAAGATTGTTTGATAATTTATACTACTCTTGTTAATATTTATCTCAAAAAACCTCTTGCCTATATTTTTGGACGTTCTTTAGAGGTGGAGTGTGTTTTGTATACTAAATTTATATCTTGAGAAAGCACGTGCCTATGTATTTGGATGGCATCGTTATATAAAGAAAAATCTGAGGTGTTGCTGATGTTAAACAATTGAAGATTACAATATTGAAATTTTGTTACAACAGTGACTTTTTACAATTATCTATGGCTCTGTTATGCAATCATGTTGGCTCAAAACATCGTGTATAACATTGCTTCTGACATATTCATGAACGAAAATGTCCGAGTTCAAAGCGATCCTCATATTTCAAAGTACGTAGGGAACTTACATCACCAAAGACTTACGCAAAAGAAAAAATGTTACATGTTTAATAACCAGCTTTCCGAAGTAACAAAAACTTGGAAATACTTGACGCAAAGTTTTCACCCAGTGGAATAACAAGACAGTGTAATTTCCATGCACTTGGATCCATAAGAGAATTGTTGTTTATCCCTATAACTTCTACAGTAGAATTAACTCATTGTGTCCCACACAGAGATTCCATTTTTAATCATTCTTTATAAATCTATTTCAATAAAAATTAATCTTACCTGATTTAAATATCCATAAATTGGTTCAGAGGGATTCTAGAACCTTCTCTCTAGCATGCGATAATGAAGTACAATCAGGTATCCTGTGATCATCGAGATACTATCCTGTTCAGCTTTAGACATGTTTGAATTCGTTCTAAATCTTAACTAACAGGTGCACAAGCGTTCCTAAATATTTACACGTTCTGTAATCATATTTATTTCTTTTCTACCTTTTGCATCAATTTCCGAACGATAACAATTGTCAAATCAAAGTTGTTTCAATAGGGACCTGCTGAATTATCGCAGTCAAGAATAGCCCCCAATAAGCATAAACCTCTTATAAGCGAGCAGGGGGCGTTTTGGAGCCGTTTTTCAATTGTTGATCGCTGTAATCCACTTTACGAGAATGATGTATATCTACAGTGAAATGGAAGTCTGTTCCAAGTAACGACTGTAAGCTCAAGACAAGAAAAAATTACCGACATGTGGCAATCCAGGCTTTACCTCTCATATCGGCTTGCATTGTAAGTTATACGTCTTTCGGATCGTTCTTAGCCTCTCAATGCTCCATCTCAACATATCTGATCAGTTCGGATAGAGAATTCTTACTAAGTAATTGGTTCCCGGTAAAGTCACTTTCAATTCCAATTTCCAAAGTTCAAATTGATTGTTATATCGAAGTTCGAAGAGAGGGTCGTTTTTTGGCACGCAAATAAATCTACTAATTTGGAAGTTGCATCTTTTTAATTTGGTACCTAGATCAATATTTTCAATATGTCATTTCAAAATCATTTGGGTTTCAATTATTGTTGGTTTATATGGTTGTTATATAAGCCCCTTGTAAATTATAATTTTTTACTGCCAATATTTAACCAAGAATTCAGTTTTTCGTGCAGCGACCAGGAAGCCGATTGAACAAAAATTGGTTTTGTCAGGTCATCCGCTGTCAAAACTGCCATGGGCATTTTGTTGTAATTGTTGCCTATTTAAGAATATCGATATTTTTCATTTTGACTTGTATTTCGATTTACAGCTTTTGAAAAATAATGAATTCAGGTCATTACACACTGGTGATCCACTCGATTACGCTGGTTACCAAAACGAACCGTTTTGGTAACAAAATGTCGGAACGCCGAAGGCACGATTTTTCTGTTTTCCTTATTTCACGCGTTGTAGGCAGAATCCCCACGACGTTTTTTCTCACAACGTGCATCAGTATCATATGTTTTAGAAAATGTACACGTTTGCGAAAAAATAGCTCAGAAGACAACAGAATCGTCGATTTACTTCCTCACTTAAGTTACAGAAACGGTTTTTCGAAAAACAGTTAAGATCTGCACTTTTAACCCAAACCGTTTATGTAACTTAAGTGAGGAAGTAAATCGACGATTCTGTTGTCTTCTGAACTATTTGCTCGCAAATATGTACAATTTCTTAAACATATGATACTGATACACGTTTGCGCTAAAAAATGTCGTGGGAATTCTGCCTACAACGTGTAAAATAAGGAAACGAGAAAAATCGTACCTTCTATGTTCCGACATTTTGTTACCAAAACGAACCGTTTTGGTAACCAGCGTAATCGAGTGGATCACCAGTGATTACAGCTATTGCTTTTAGAAACAACCCACTCCTGGGGTATGCATAAACATACCATGAATTGACTTGCGAGAGGCGATTATGTAGAATTTTTGTAGCTCATTGACAGTTATTGAAATAATCATCAGGTAATCATGTTGATTCAATCCTCAGCAGTATTCAATTTTCAAAAATCAACTTTAACTTCATAGTTCTATTTCAATCGGAGATACTTCTTCAATCTAGCTAATAACAATGCGCAGGCAAAGATCGCGACGCAATGATCTCCCATTGCGTAACACACATTCATTTTACATCCAAACTCTCATTGAAATGAATACCATTTAGTATAGTAGGAACAAGGGGTTCCCATGCACCCATAAGGTGTGAATAAGTTACATACATTTTTGTAATCCCTAGGGTGTCTATTTAATGAATTCATTTGTTAACATTGCCAACTAATGTCCCATAGTACTTTTATGGCGGCATTCAGTTACCATGGTTACGCATCTTTAGAATCTTACCTTGGTATCTTAAATCATTTGTAGCTCTGTCATTATTTGGTCTATAGAAATGATATTGGTACCAAATTAAACCTTGTTAAATTTCCAATAAATTTTTGATATTCAATTATGCAAATTATCTAATTTGCATAAATTATGACGTCATCAATCTATTTTTGGTTCAGAATTTCCAACTATAGCAACGTATCTATTAGAACTGAGGCTGTATGGCAAAATTTCTGAAAGGTTTTGTCCTTTATTCTATTAGTAGAAGGTATAAGCAACATAAAAGTGAAAACAGATTCAAAATTGAATCAGTATTACGAAAGTTATGTAACTTTCGAGGCAGCTATCGTGAATGTCATTATTTGACAATAATATACATACATCTTACCTTGGAGTCTTGAATCAATGTATCTTCGCCATTATTTGGTCTATAGAGATGATATTGGTATCTGATTAAACCTTATTAAATTTACTATATGGTTACAATATTCAGTTATGCAAATTAGCTAATTTGCATTAATTGTGACGTCATCAATCCATTTTTGGTTCAGAATATCCTAGTATAGCAACATATCTATTAGAACTGAGGCCATATGACAGAACGTGTGCATAATTTTGTCCCTTATTTGATGAGTGGAAGATATAAGCAACATTAAAGAGACAACAAATCTTCAAAATTGGATCAGAATTAACAAAATTATCCAGCTTTGGAGGCAGCTACTGTGAACGTCATTGTTTGACAATTTTAAAAATAATATTAAATTAACAAAAAAAGTAACAACCATAGTTGTTTCAATCTTATTGAGTAAAAATGTGCATGTATTGAACTGAACTAATAAGTGTGTGGAAAGGTTACATGTATTTTGACTATCATTCACAAGGGTCAAAACGGTTATTTCTACCCTGTATATTAAAGATCCAATTTTATAATTTACCATGCATCATATTCTTCATATTCTTGATTCTTAAAGTGTCTGAAGTATAAAGCATGATTAGAAGTGAAGATGATTCATCATATGGTTTATGTAATATTTCTAACATTTCAGATGCTATGGTAACATCACTTGATAATGAGGTTTTTACATTTCATGTTCTTAATGAGTTAAAAGAAAGTTATTCTCCCTTTGCTTAGAGATAAATAGTCACATGAATTTGTTTAAAAAAATTATAACTTAATTTAACCCCCTCCTGACAGCCCCCGTATTCGAAGATTTTGGTGAAACCTGGCAAAATACATTAATTATTAGGTTCCAGAAGCCCCCAGAAGCTATATGATGGCCCCCAGTGGCCCCAAGAATCTATACAGGGGCCCCAAGTGGCCCCCAGAAGGTATACGATGGCCCCCAGAAGCTATACAAGGGCCCACAGAAACTATACTGTGGTCTCCAGAAGCTATATGGTGGCCCCCAGTGGCCCTCAAAAGCTATATGATGGCCCCCAGAAGCTAATTAGTGGCCCCCAGGAGCTATATGGTGGCACCCAGAAGCTATACAGGGAACCCCAGTGGCCCCAAGAAGCTATACGATGGCCCCCAGAAGCTATACTATGGCCCCCAGAAGCTATACAAGGGCCCCCAGAAACTATACTATGGTCTCCAGAAGCTATATGGTGGCCCCCAGTGGCCCCTTTGAATCTATACAGGGGCCCCAAGTGGCCCCCAGAAGGTATACGATGGCCCCAAGAAGCTATACAAAGGCCCACAGAAACTATACTGTGGTCTCCAGAAGCTATATGGTGGCCCCCAGTGGCCCTCAGAAGCTATATGATGGCCCCCAGAAGCTAATTAGTGGCCCCCAGGAGCTATATGGTGACACCCAGAAGCTATACAGGGGACCCCAGTGGCCCCAAGAAGCTAAACGATGGCCCCTAGAAGCTATACAGGAGCCCCAAAAAGCTACATGATGGCCCCAAGAATCTATATGATGGCCCCCAATGGCTCCCAGAAGCTATACAGGGCCCCCAGTAGCCCCTAGAAGCTATACGGTAGCCCCCAAAGCTATATGGTGGCCCATTGGGAGACACTGTATAGCTTCTGGAGGCCATCGTATAGCTTATGGGGCTACCGTATAGTTTCTGCGGGCCCTTGCATAGCTTCTGGGGGCCATCTTATAGCTTCTGGGAGCCACTGGGGGCCCCTGTATAGCTTCTGGGGGCTACAGTACAGTTTCTGCAGGCCCTTGCATAGCTTCTGTGGGCCATCGTATAGCTTCTGGGAGCCACTGTGGGCCCCTGTATAGCTTCTGGGGGCCACTATATAGCTTTCGGGGCCACTGAGGGCCACCGTATAGCTTCTAGGGGCTACTGAGGGGGCCCTTTATAGCTTCAGGGAGCCATTGGGGGCCACCATATAGATTCTGGGGGCCATTGTGTAGCTTCTGGGAACCACCATGTAGCTCCTGAGGGTCACTATTTAGCTTCTGGGGGCCATCATATAGCCTATGAGGGCCACTGGGGGCCACCGTATAGCTTCTAGGGGCTACTGGGGGCCCTTCACATCTTCTGGGAGCCATTGGGGGCCATCATATACATTCTTGGGGCCATCATGTAGCTTTTTGGGGCTCCTGTATAGCTTCTGGGGGCCATCGTTTAGCTTCTTGGGGCCACTGGGGTCCCCTGTATAGCTTCTGGGAGCCACCGTATAGCTCCTGGGGGCCACTAATTAGCTTCTGGGGGCCATCATATAGCTTCCGAGGGCCACTGGGGGCCACCATATAGCTTCTGGAGACCATAGTATAGTTTCTGGGGGCCCTTGTATAGCTTCTGGGGGCCATAGTATAGCTTCTGGGGGCCCCCGTGTAGCTTCTGGGGGCCACCGTATAGCTTTTTTGGGCCACTGGGGGCCCCTGTATAGCTTCTGGGCGCCACCGTATAGCTCCTGCGGGCCACAGGGTTTCCTGTATAGCTTCTGGGAGCCACCGTATAGCTCCTGGGGGCCACTATTCAGCTTCTGGGGGCCAACATATAGCTTTTGGGGAGCACAGTTTAGCTTCTGGGGGCTTGGGGCCCCTGTATAGATTCTTGGGGCCACTGGGGGCCATCATATAGCTTCTGGGGGCTTCTGGAACCTAATAA